AATTTTGACACTTTAAAATCTTAAATTTTTGGTTTGGTTACAGATACTTGCACAAGTACAGTTAGGTTTACCAGAGAGGGTTTCTTCTACACCAAGTAAAAGCTCAATCTCACGAGGGATCATCAAATTGTCCAGTAGTAATAAAAATAAGGCTGGTTTAACAGATGAAATTGTCGATTCGATCGAACGAATCGAAACACAGCTTTCGGCTTTTCGGTTTTGTTCTAGTCGTCGTCTTGTGACAGATTCTGATGATAGAAGAACAAGGTCGTGTAATAATAATAAGTCTCGTAGTGTTACTACTACTACTCCTCCCATTGAAGATGATGATTACTTATCTTCTACAATGCCTTTTGAAAGGTACGAGTTAGTGGTACCAAAGTTAAGCGAGAAGGCGTTGATGCAACATAGACAAAAGTTTCCTCAAGCTTCTATGTCTGGTTTAAGGAAAAATTACTTGCCAATAAGTCAGACTCCAAGAACGTCACCTAGTCTGACAAGTGCAATAGTTCGAAGCCGTGATGATCCATCTTTGATTCCTGATGATCAGTTTGTTCGGGCCAAGTCAAGACCGCCATTACCGCGTCTTCATGAGAGATCGGTTGGTTTCAAGAAGGCAAGTCAGAGTAAGAGGACGTCACAGAAGATGATGAGTATGAAACCAACTTTGTTGGATCAAGAAAGTGAGACTTGGGATGATGAAGAGAGTGGAAACACACGGTCTACGAAAAACTCGGAAGACGATATAGAGCAAGAATCAGAAGAAACCTCTGGGGAAATAGAGTCATCATCAGCCTCTGGCTCAAGCTGGGAAACTCAAGGAGAGAGTGTCACGGAGTCAGTCTCATCATCTCCACCAGAGAGTAATGATGTTGATGATGACTCTGGATTCAGTGATTCTCCTCCTTATAAAAAGGGAGACAACAAAACAAGCGATTTTGCGAAACAGAGGAAAAAGGCGATGGGGAGGTTTACAAGATTCAAGAACAAGTTAGGTCAAGTGTTT